GTCAAATTGGAAGCACAAAACCATTTCGGGTACCCGGGCATTTTCGACGAATCATGGTGGGACGTCCCTGAAAAAAGTTTCGACTACGGAGTATCCGTGATACTTGTCGCAATTCAGCTGGTGTGCATGTCTACGAGATGCATCCGTGTTTGGATGCCATTTTCGTATGTCTGCCCAATCTGAAATACTTTTATGTTTTTCCTCGTGGTTACGACGCTCTTGGAATCGTCGTCTTTGTCGAGCTTGTTCTGAAATGTTTGCTGAAATCACAGCGTCTCACAGTCAGTCTGAGTCAACACTTTAAGCGAGCGAGCGACATACTTGAAACAGTTCACTCTATGAACTATCAGCTACTGAAGCGACTGAGAAGCAGAACCTCTGACGGCAAAGAGTATGGCAAGGATGGATATGGCTGGTTTCCGGTAGAAATATATGTATTTGTCTGCGAGTGACCTAACCAAAGATTGCTTATTCTGATCGAGCTAGCTCGTTTTCTACATGATGAGGATGACAGAAATGAACGAATGATGTTTCTCTACCATCAGCTTTTACTTTATTATATATAGATGGGAGCATATATAAATATCTGAGTGTATTCAGCTGTTGCACAGAGATGGAATTAGTACTGGTAAGGATTTAATACCAACCGATAATCAATAAACAGATTATTATCATTATTTTATTGATTTTTTCATTGCTATAAGCCTTTGTTGTAGGTAGACTATGTCAAATATCACTGTTACTAGTTGAAACAGTAAAAAACTGATCACTCAAGTGTTGTTTTGGATTTCAAACTGGCAGGTCTGCCGGCAGTCAGTTCGAGATCGATTCCATTTCTGCCGTTGTAGACGAAACTGATTGAAGTTATAACTTTTCCAGTGATGTCTCAGCGCCGCTATAAGGGCAGTCCCATAAGTGGGTTTTCGATATTGTATATTTACATTTTAGGGCAACTGGCATGCCGATCATTACAAAAAACAGAGTGGTGAGAAGCCTAGAGTACATGAATGAATAGCTTGAATAAAACAGTAGTATCGACTTTTTTTGTAATTTTTCATGGATGGCCCCAGTTGATCCAAGGACGCCCAAGAAGTTCGAAAGGGACAATAACAATGAAAGGTTAATATTCGATGGTGTCAGCATGTATAGATATTTCTTTTGCCATCGAATAGGGCTTGAAATGTTGCACTGATCAAGCCGATTTGAGACTAGGGTGTGTGGCTGTGGCTGTGCACGGAGAGAAAAGTCACACACCTATATCGAGCTTTTATCGTGTTTAATCATGAATTTCTTCAAACTTTTCACATGACATCTGTGCATCGTTTTTTTCCTATTAAAGACGTTTGACTAGTAAAGAGCAAGCAGAGAAACGTAAACATTATGTTTTAACATAATCGCGCACCATACCGCACAGCGGGAAAAAACACACTATTTGGATCTTTTACGCGAATCTTTAAGTTGTGAAACTTTTCCAGATTATTCACAACTAAATGGCATTTACGTCTCAAGTGTCTGCCTTTCTTATTGCCAATGAAGAATATGTTGCACAATTCGATAAAGGTCATTTAGCCTTGCCGCCTACTCGCAAGGTGGCCATTGTTACATGTATGGATGCTCGCATTGATCCAGCGAAGATTCTTGGATTGCAAGAGGGGGATGTAAGTGTGTCAAAAAAATATCGACATAAGACTTGTCAAAGCATCTTCTATTATCTAGAGTCACGTGATTCGAAATGCAGGTGGTGAGTTTAGTTGAGCAAGCACGAACTTTGAAACTTTGTTGAAGCATAGGTCGAGCCGCAGACGCTGTTCGCTCACTCATTATCAGCCAGAAATTACTTGGCACACGTGAGATTCTCATCATTCATCATACAGATTGTGGTAGGATTTATTTGCAACTCTATATATGCTACATCCCTGGGAAAAAGCCTTCCCTTTCTTGTTCTTTTTATATTGTTATATTCGCATCAAGTACGCAATTGACCATTTACCCGAGGCGAATATAATAGCATTCCAAAAAGAGGAAGGGAATACTTTTAATCAAAGGTGTCATTAAATAGACTCTTCTCTGTTCTCTACTAGGTATGGTCACGTTCAAGGATAGTGATTTGCAAGAGAAATTAAAACAAGAATTTCATTCAACTGCTGATCATATAGCCTTTCTTTCGATTGCCAAGCTCGAAGATTCTGTTCGTGATGATGTAGACTTTCTCAAAAATAACCCATTGTTATTCAAAGATGTGCCCATCAGCGGCTGGGTCTACGACGTCAAGACGGGAAAATTGAATAGAATTGTTTAGGATACAGTTTTTTCTTGTTACCTGTTCGATTTTCACTGAAGTATCATACAATTGTATTAATATCAAATCCAGTGAAAACTTTTGATAACTGAAATTGATTAAAATTGAAAAGTCCTAAAGGCATAATCTAGGGTGTGGATGTGGGTGTGCGTCTCTTCTTTACTCACACCCTGACACACAGTCACACCCGCACCCGCACCCATACCCACACCCACCCACCCACCCACACCCACACACCTATACCCACACCAA